TGCTAGAAACGGTTACACTCCTATTTCTGTCATTGTCTATCTATCTACTCTTTACCCTCTTATCCAACTCCCGCTCTATCTTAACTTTTGAATTGTTTACATTCCACTCGTCAAAATGTGTGCCCTTTTGTGGCAAATCTAGTGTGGCCTCATCACACTTGCAATTCACCCGACTCCTCTCTTTCGATCGGCTGATCCGACTCGGACCTCCAATTCGGATCCCCTCATTGTCTCCTAGATCCGTTCCTTTGCTTCATCGACAATCACACCACATAATGTGATATGGAAAAATGCCTGGCCTTCCTTGGAATGCGCATTGTGGAGATATGGCGTAGTGGATAAATTGTAGAGATTATACGCTGCACTGTCATGGTTCGATTCCTGCTGAAGTTGTTGTTGAGGCCACTTGGCGAGGACGAAAGTGCAGTTCACCTCAGCTCGAATGAGAAAACCTTTTAGGAAGACAAGGCTATGTGAGATTCAACTGATACATATGGTATATTCATGTCATTGTGGGAAAATGCAATTACCAGTCCTCATAACACCATAAATCAAATAGAGTTAATATATCTTGCCTTGAAGGGAAGACTTTTGTGTTGTATGGAGAAGTCCTCAACTCACTGTCATATGAACTTGATGTAGACTTCTCCGCTCAGTCTTTCGGGTACATGTGAGACCAATTCATTAATTGATTCCAATCAACTTTAATTTCGAAATGAAAATTCTTGTCACAAGAAACCTCTAAGCGAGTCTGTATCTTCAAGCCCGAAGGGAGATCGGCAGGTAGTAGCGTAGTGCAGATACTCCTTATGCCCTTTTTGGAGAAACTTTAATAACAAATAATACAAGCACATACTTTCGGCCAGAATCCAGCCTCCAAGTCTACATCAAAAAGTAGCAGGGTATTAGTTAAGGTTGCATCTCTCTCTTCAGTAAGGACATCAAAAACACTTAATAAAAGACTATATTCATCCAGACACATCTCTAGCGCCTGTGGGGAGAATGCAGGTTGTCCGGTATAGACACCGAGCGTCTAGCAATACGGATGATGGCGTGGCCTGCCCTCGACGAATTAGGGCTGAGACACGATAATATTTGTTTTATGCGGTAAAACTGGCTTTTCCGAGTGTCCAGATGAAATGAGCGCTGCTTCCTTCACCAGGGCACCAGCTGTTGGGTCGTCTATATGATAGAAAATATTGTGTTATTTAATATGTTTTCAAAAAGAGTTGAAATATGCCGTTACCTTGCAAACCTCTGGCAGATAAGTTGTTTGGAGGTTAATTTACAATGTCTATCTGTCTTGAGAACAATTTTACACTTTACAATTCCACCAAGATTTATAGATTCTACAGGACAGCCATTTGACTACGCATTACTTCGTAGGCGGTATTGGTATCTGTCTTGGGCTCGGTGTGAAGATCAAACGGCTGGCGAATGATGATTACCAAGGACTGACATTGTCTCCTACCGAGTTAAGTCGGACATATGCCAGTTGTTATGCATGCAATTTAAGAAAATTTTAAAATGAAGCTGGATTCTCAAGAGAAAATGCCTAAGTGGGCAATTGACAGAGTTTGCCTGTAGCCTTGCAAAACAACGGCTTAAATTGGGATTGAGTTGACAGATTTCATTCTATTTGAAATCTCTTTTTCGAGGAATCAGCTGAGCCACTTAATTGGTTATGTAGACTCTAAAGTTGCTGCAAAGCTGACAGCAAACGTTTTCTTTCATACTTATTAGCACTTTGATTGCCATCGCGGTTCATACTGATTGGTTGCCATAGGGATAAAATATGCTTCTCAAAATAAGTTTATTCTTTACCTTGAAAATTGAATACCCTCGTAATGCCGAGTTGTGAAGCGCAGATTTTCTGACGGGAAAGGCAGAAAGCCGGTTGACACCATTGGATTTCAGCTTATGCACCCAATAAGTGGTGATTCCAAATGACTTTAATGACTCGGAACCCATTAGAAATTGTAATGTTAGTTGGATACTAATACAACTTAGGCATAAAAATTAGCCTGATCAATTGCTATTTTATCAGCAAAAATTGGTCTACCCTTCTATTGGGGATAAATTATCGAGTGAATGTCGAGTAAGACAGTCAAGGCTTCGTTTAACTTCGCCATCGGATGGCCAAAAGAACGTGGCGAGGCTTCTTTTCTACTTCTTTTCGATTAGGCTGCCATGGTAACCAGCCTGTTGGACGGATGAGGGAAAGGGCTTGACTGCAAGTTTATACGAGACCAGTTACAAAATTCACTTACAACCATTAAACATAGGGTAGTTGTCAAGTGGAAGACAGCCAGCCCATAGGGATTTAGATGACTGACGTGCACCGAAGTCGCTTGGATCGCTAGACCAATTTGGCGCGTGGAATATATTCAATTGTGTGGAGCAATTATCGAGGCCACAAGAGAACTGGCTCTGATGGTCGAACCCAGAAGGCCTTGTGCTCGATGCCAGTCCTGACATATCTGCCAATTGTGTCATAGTCTTGTGTGTGTGTGTGTGTGTGTATGTATGTGTGTGTGTGTGACTAGTGTCATTTTACTGCAAACGAAGTGCATGTAGGCGGGTGAACAATGTGAGGTCAGAGAGGAACATAAGCGGGGCAGGCCGTAGGCTATCCTTACAGGAGAAAATTTGCTTTTTTTTGGAATTCCTCTATGCCCACTGTCAACTTCAATGTTTAACATCCGCATACTAGACAGAAGATACTTCAAAGCCAGCCTAAATTGAAAACATCTCAAAGGAGAAAAGATGAAACCACAAAATAAAGGGGTCTTAAAGGAGCAAAGAATTAGTATTGTGGCAGGTTAGGACTGAATGTCTTGAGCTACTTTGTAGATGCCAATAAAAGTTGGGCTTTGTTGAATCGCTTCGTTTATAATCGTTGATCTTCCTTCCATTTCGAGTGAAAGTGTGTATGTTGAATAGATTCGAAAGTCACTTCCGCCGGAAAACAATGCGGATTCCTCTTTGCCTATACACAAATACTTACAGACACAGACAAAGGCACACGCACATGCACATGCCTCTGATTGACATATGACTTGCACATACTAGATCACTTTTACCTCATCAATCTGCAATGATTTGGGATATATATAAATCATTTAGGAAAAAGCCAGGGAGTTTCCTTGCTTTTTTACCTTGCATATGGTTGAAAGAATGATACACTTATAAGATGGTGGCTATATGGCAAAATGGAAGTGAGCTCAGCAAATGAGATACTTTTTGAAAAGCTTATGGGCTATTTAGAAGATCATAGCCAAATAAGGTAGAAGTAGGCAACCGAAGTAGAGTTGCCTAGGATTCTTGTTAATTGAATTATGCGAAGTAGACTTCGGGTCACAGTCCTACGGCCCCGATGACTTCGTGCTGAGCTTTCGTCCGTCTTGTGATGGACATCGTCAGGGACAGAAACCATTATTCACGAACAATGACCAAAAAAACTAAACCACGAAAGGTGGCCGGCTGAGATCCTACTTACTTCTTATACTTCACTTTGCCATCTTAATGAGGCATTCCATGATTTGTTGGCTCTTTGACGCTTGTCCTAATTGACATGTAAGCGAGTCAAAGTTATGCAGGAATGGAAGCGGATGTGCCAACATCTTTTGTCTGTGTAACTAAACTAGATTATTTTCCTGCAATCCTGGGTCTTGTTTGAGCTTCGTGAGTGTGTTCGTGTGTGTATGCAACACTCAAGTATAGGTTGGCAATTTTAGGTCCCAAAACAGACTCCAGCTTAGTCTTCTTTTCTTCACTTATCAGTGGTTCTTCCTGCTCTCTTTCATCCTCTCTCTATTCCTGTATCATTACATGAATGTAGGACAAGCATAAAACAGCCAACCAAATCATGGAATGCCTCACTAAGATCGCAAAATGAGGTATAAAAAGTAAGTATGATCTCAGCGGGCCACCTTTCTTGGTTTAGGGTTTTTCGGTGAGTGTTCCTGAATAATGGTTTCTGGCTCTAACGATGTCTGTGCCATGACAGTTGAAAGCTCAGCACGGAGTAATCGGGGTCGTAGGACGGTGAGCCGAAGTTTTCTTTGCACAATTCAACAGACAAAAGTCCAAGCTAGCCCTCCTTCAGTATACGGTGAAGCCAATCTACGAATCCGTTTCACCCGCCTTCGCAAACAAAATGAAAGGTGTGCCAGTATTAGGAAAAATATTAGTTGAGAATGATTACCCTTTAATATTAATAGCTAATAATTTATAAATACCAAGAAATATGGTAAGTGGAAACTATAGTTTAGGACAGAACAGAGACTTAGACAACTTTTCGTCTATGCTTTCAAGAAATATAGGAAACGGAACGCTAGGACCGTGCATTAAGAAATTATAACGCTTCCCTCGGTCATACCTTCTTTCATAGTAGCTTCAGACCTCCTCTGAAAATCAGGTTGCTATAAGGTTTTCTGCTCATGTGGTAGTGTTCATGGGGGGTGGATTTGTCGACCCATACATAAGACGCTATCAGAACACAGAACCGTCTACAAAGCTTAATGGCTTGAGAAATCGGAGGTGGCTGAACATGTGGTAACTACAGGACACCAGACAGAATGGTCTAAATCCCAACGTTTTATCGGATATGGGGATCTCCCAATTAAGCGGAAGATCAGGGAGTCGACTGAAATTGACAAAACATCGAACACTTTTGGCATACTTTTCATTTAGTTTCAGAAGCTTGATGAAAGGGATTCGTAAATTGACCGCACCGGATACCGAAGGAGAGTTGCTTGGTCTTTTGTCTGTTGAATTGTGCGAAGAAGACCTCGGCACACAGTCATACGACCTTGATGACTCATTAAGATAGCAAGGTGAGGTATAGGAAGTAGGTAGTATCTAAGCCTTTCCTGT